CCCCGCCCCCCCCCCCTCCCAAGGGCCGCGGGGGCGGGGGCGGGGGCGCGTGGCTTTCCTCGGCCAGGCCGTGACCCGTGCCGCGCTGTGTCCGTGCGCAGTCCGCCGGCCCGAGGTGGAGTGTCTCATCCGGCTCTTCCACACGCTGGTTCCGGAGGCTGGTGAGCGCCGCGGCGCCACGGGGCTGGACCGCAACGCCTTCCGCAGCGTTCTGCACCTCACCTTTGGCATGACCGACGACATGATCATGGACCGAGGTGAGGGCGCGCGCCCCAAGGGGGATAGGGCAGGCAGTCCCCGCCCCCGCGCCGGGCGCCCCAGCCAGCAGGTGATTTCTGGGCCCCAGCATCGGCCCGCCCCCCGACAGGGAGCCCAGGCCGGGTCCCCCCGCCGCAGAGGCGCTGCGGGGATTCCGCTCCAGGGGCTCGAGCACGTGGGGAAACCTCAGGGTTGGGCCCCAGGGCTGCTCTGCACCAGGCGGCCTCCCTTTGTCCAGCGAGGTGGCTGGCCCAGCCGCTTCACTAGGCCACCTTGGAGAGCCTGCAGGCCAGAAAAGCTTCAGAACTGTGGTGTGTGATGCAGTCACTTAAAGCCTCTGGAGATTTCCCAGGTTGGCCTCTTCTTCTTCAGGTGTGCTCCTGCAAAAGCACTGGCTCCTGTCACCAAAGAGCTTGGATGTTTGTAGCTGAAAATGGAAAGAAGCTGCATGTAAACGATTCCTGTAGTGGCCCAAGGATGCTGCAAATATGATTTTGGCTGGCAGCAGTATATGCAGCTGGAAATGTTTCTTATGACATGGGCTGCATAGTGACAAAGTGTTATAATAGTCTTTCTAGATGTCAGTTTACTGCCCTTTAAAAAGCTGCTATGTCAGCTCTGAGGATGGCCACTTTCAAAAGAGATGTGGAAAGGGTCATGTGCAGGTGCCGTCGTACAGAAAACAGTTCATCAGAGGAAGGTGCTGAGCAGATGCTTCTGTGTTGACAATGATTCCCACCACTTCCCTAAGGAAACAGTTGATAAATGGAGTGATCGTGCTTTCTCCAGTGCTGACAGTGGTATTAGTAGAAAAGAGAATGGTAGTGATCTGTGTTAGTCTAAAGTCAGGCAGAAGTCAAGGTAGAGGTGCACCTTAAACTAATTAAATTGGAGGTGGATAAGCGTCCCTGAGCCTAAACTTCATCTGATGAAGTAACCTTAGGTCCACAAAAGGATCTTTTAATCTATTAGTAGAAAAGGCCGCTGTTGTCTCTGTAGTGGAACATGATATACACTTGTAAGCAAACGTTGCTGCCCTTAGTCTTCAGCTCTGACATGCTGGAGACAGAGGCTGTTTGGCACTGCAGTGTCCAAACAGCTCTTCTGGAGCAGGGGTAGTGAGAGCAGACTGATATGGCAGTCTTGCTGAAACAAGTTAGGTTTCTATCCTTGACAGAGAGGAGTGAAGGATAAGTGTTAATGCACTAAAGTTTACTTTCTTCCCCAAACCGTAGTGTTGAGGGTTTGGCTGCTTGGGAGGGGAGCTACTGTACTGGTATATAGGTAGGGTGACCATAGGTCCCACTTTGGCCAGGACACTCCAGGATTGTGTAGCTTGGTCCCAGATGGTTGGCCATAAGTTCCAGGCCAGAGTCCAGCAAGGAAGTGAAGCAGCATGGTGAGCCAAGGCAGGTGGCTAGACAGCAGCAGCAGTATGGTCACCTCACATATAGGGGTTTATAGCAGGGTACTGAAGCAGCTTGAGCCTGGCACTTCCCAACACCAAGTCACTAAGGGGAGATTTCCAAGGAGGGGGTGCCAACCTGGATCTAACTCTTCTCAACACGTGGAAGTGCTAGGGAGAAGTTTCAGAGGAGAATAAAGTTGTAAAGGCAAAATTAATAGACTCTTAATTGTAGAGAGCTTTACTTTATAGCCAAGGTCATATTTTCATGTAATTTGTGTGTTATTTTAATTTTACTGCAACATAACAAGGGTGATGCTGTTGCTGTGACTATCTTGCAAGTAATTTTGAAGTGTTAATTAGTAAAATGAAAAGCAAAATAGAAATGCTTCATACTATCAAGGACTGCACTAATTGAAAAGTTACAAACAGCAGCTTGTTACTAGTTTGCACATGAAAGAAATACGGGTTTATGCAAGACGGGAAAGTTTCCAAAACGTACACTTGAAGAAAAAAAAGAAAAGAAAAAAAGGTGAGCTAGATTTCCTGATTGATGTTCTCCATTGCAGCCTAAAACAAACCATTCTAATTGAATTCTTTGTATGCCTTTAATGCTGGCTCCTCCTTTTAGGCTGTTATGGAATTTGTGATGCTTTACTAGAGTGCTGTCAAGCCAGCAAAATAATGTGTCAGATAGCAAGATAAAATGGCTATATCAGCAGGGAAGATCTAGATTCATCTTATTTGATATATTCAGGATTTTAAATCTCTTAACTAGGCCTTTGGATGACTGCCACATATGAGCATGTAAGTTACCACTAGGCAGGCAAGCTGGGAACTTAAAATTCATCAGCTATTCTGCAGTAACAGTTTAAGCATACTCTGGTTTCATTAAATAAGCTGCCTTGCATTCAGTGGGCGCGTCCACACATGCAAGCACGTACGCTTGCAGCTCAAACAGAAGCAGTGCAAATTTGAGCCAGGGCTTTTTGCTTCAGCACACGTGCTCAGACATGCACTTTGGTGTGGAGCAAAATAACCCTGCCTGGCTCCTCCCAGATCTGCAGCCAGGGGGAGCTAGAGCCTGGGGCCAGCACCTGTACTGTCCCCAGCAGTAAAGAAAGCTGCCCTGGCAGAAACCTGGCCCCAGCAATATATAAAGCCGCCCTGGCAAGTAGCTCAGGGCTACTCGCTCTCAGGAGCTTCTGGGGCCCAGCCAAATTGGTACCTGGAGACACTGCCCCTTGTGCCAGCTGGACTGCTGAAGCAGCCCTGAGAGTTCCCTGCACCTTTACCCACTGCGCATCTGCCCCGCTGGGCCAGCTGCCAGTGGACTGTGGTTGCAGGGTTGGCCTCTGTACGGCACTACTGCCATGTGTGCCCCTTGCCCAGCTATCTGGGCAGCTATCGCCCGGAAGATGTTCCAGGTGTGGTGGCCTGCTTTGAACTGTCAAAGCATGTCCTCCTGGCCCCATTTCACCAGGAGGTCAGCCACAGCCAGGTGGGTCCAAGATGCCAGCTCTGAGCAGACAGGGTCCTCCCACTGGCCTCCCTAGCAGGAATTTTGGTGTTCCCTGTTGGAAAACTGAAAAATCCCTGATAAAAAAAATCCCAAAGTCACTCTATAAAATACCCCCAAATCCATGTTCCTCCACAAGTAAAACAGAAGACCACTATAGAGAGAGAGAGAGAGAGAGCGCAAGACAGAGACAATGATCAGTTGGACAATGTTTTATTGATATATCTACAGTGGTAAAGCAAGTCTCTTATCATAATAATAAAGTGAACTCTAAATACAGATTTCATGAATACACGTTTTGCTGCACTCCCACAAGGGGTCCAGCCCCAAACAAGTGGTTCAGCCCCCACACAAGGGGTACGCCCCCCAATGGGGCCAAATGGTCCCCCACAGAGGCTATCACACTCCTGCAAGGCCCACA